AAGTTAAGGAGAAAGGTTTGTAGTTTATCAATAAAGGCAGCCATTGAAAGAGTTTAGGCAGTAGCATCAGAGGTGGATTATCCAATAAGCAAGGTAAGCACCTTATCATCTGTAGTGAACAATCTCACATGGGTTTTGAAGTCTCACATTGGTTTCACCACATCTTAGAGAACCATGTGGGATTGTTCACTACAGATTAGTAAGTAAGCACAAGTAAGCTCGTGCTTACCGTGCTTACTGGGTCATCTGCCCCTGTCAGGGATTGTAAATTTAAAAAGAGGCTTTGATTCTGTAGGAAGAGCTGTGGGGTTGGGAGAGAGACAGATGCCAGCCATACCTAAAAGCAGAATCTTTGATGTGGAGAAAAAATGTAAAATTGTTCACTACAGATGATCTGGTAACCAAGGTAAGCACTGTGCTTACCTTGGATAATCCGCCCCTGAGTAGAATAATATGATAAGATTCGCATTTTACAACTGTGGTGAATAAATTGAAGAGTAAGGGTGGTCTTGAAGGCACTGAGACCTGTAAGGAGCTGCTACCAGTGAGAGAGATGAAGAAGACCTACCTGGATTAGGTCTATGGGTAACACAGGTACAGGCTGAATTTGAACCTGCTAGATTTGAAGTGGAATCAACAAGAATTGGTGATGGGAGGGTGGGGTAGGGTAGGGTCAGGAGTCGGTGAAGAAGTGGCAGGGACACAGGACAACTCTCAGATTTCTAACCTGGGTTACATAGTGAATGGTGATGCCAACCACAGAAAACAGAACACAGAGGCAACAGGTTGGAGAAGGTGGTGATGAGTTTAATGAATTTGGTTTTCAACTCCTTGAGTTTGAGGGGCCTGTGGGCCACTGAGCAGAGATGTTCCCTTATCTTTAACAAATTTCTCTTTCAGATACCAGCTTGAATATAATTTCCTTAGCCTTCCACCATGCCCACACTAGGTTAGGTCCCCCACTGTACACTGTGGAAGCATCCTGTACTACTTTGTGGCACTCATCATGGTTGTAATAGTAATAATTCGTGCATTATTTTGGCCTTGTCCTTCTTCAGCCACCACACTGTAAGCTCTATGAGGTCACAGACTGGGTTCTATGCCCATTTGTCCCCACCACTGCATACCCTGTACAAGGAATCAATGTCCTGCAGGTAGATGGACACATAGCTGGGTGGCCCAGGAGAGACCTGGGCTAGAGAGGTGATGTGGGAATCATCAACATATTAGTCATAGTTAAAGTTGTAGGGGAAAATTAAAGTGCTCTCAGAAAGCACAGACTTCTAAATACATTTCAAGCCCTCCAAGCCCTAGTGCAAGCCAATCTTAACCATGTCTCCTCTCCAAGTCTGTTCCAGCAATGTCAGATTCTTTTTAGTACCTCAAATGTACTACACACTCCCCCCTAGTCATTCTGCACATGCTATTCCTGTCTGAAAGGCTGCTCCCCCTTTTCCCACTCCCATCCATTACCTGAAGGAACAAAGAAAGATAAAGAGGAAAAGTCAAACCTGAGAGGACTGCTGGTGCCAGAGGCTTGGAAGTTGGTACTGGTGTCATTTCTAAAACAAAATTCAGTCACTCCTATTGCTTAATAGTCAAATCTAAACTCTTTAGTATGACAGCCAGCACTCTTGATAATCTGCCCCACTTAACTTCTCTAACTCTGTCTTCCTCCTCATCAGAATCATTGATGATATTCTTCTTATCATTTCTATCACTCTAGTTTCTGCTGTTCCTCCTCGGTTGTTCTCAGAAGCATCTCTTCTTTTGCCAGGCCTTTAAATAATGGTATAGTTGAGTTCCAACATGGACCCTATTCATTTTTCAGTCTATACACACACAGTTTCCAATCAGTACTTTAGTGTCTCACTTTAAATATGAGCAGACGACTGAGAATTACCAGACATTTGAGGAAAGCCTCTAAAATGAAAGGCTAAAATGAATAAAGAGCGAGAGACAGAATAGCTTAGAAGAAACGTAGGCTATGCAAGGAGACTATGTAGACTATCATAAATATCCTCGGAAAGATAATAATGTATATCCATGAAACAAAAACAGAATGTCTTAAAATGCAGAGAACAAAAAAAGAGCTCTTAGAAATTAAAAATCTGAAAGCAGAAGTGAAGAAAATCAATAGAAGGGTTGAGAAATAAAATGTAAGAAATTCCTCAGAAAGTAAAGCAAACAATGAAGGAGAGAGAAAATATAAGGAAATTAAATGACTACTGTTTGGGGTTCAACATCTAAATAACAAGAGTTTCGGAAAGAGACAATGGAGATAATGGAGGGGAGGAAATCATAAAAAAAATAACAATAATTCAATTTCCCATAATTGAAGGAAATGAGTTTCCAGATTGAGAGGACCCACTGAGACCACACTAAGACATTTCAGTGTAAGATTTCAGAAAGCTAGGGAACAAGAGATGATCCTAAAAGCTGTGGTGGAGTTGGGGAAGAAAATAAAAACAGGCTTCATACAAAGGATGCAGAATAAGAATGATTTCGGGCTTCTTAACAGCAACACCAGAAGCTAGAAGACAATGGAGAAATGCCTTCAAAATTGTGAGGGTAAATGATTCTAGTTTTTTATAACCAGCCACACTGTCATACAGTATAGAACAAAGACATTTTCAGACTTATAAGGCCCCAACAAATTAACCTCCCAGGTACCCTTTCTCAAGAAGTTCCATCAAAATAAGAGAATAAACCAAGAAAGATGAAGACATAGGTTCCAGAAAACAGGAGATCAACATAAGAGACAGACAAAGGGAATCTCCAGGATGGAGGTAAAGAGAGATCCCAACAGTGTAGGAGGCCTAGCAAACTCTTTGGACTGAAGCAGGTCTGAAGGCTCTGGGAGAGAAGTCTTCAAGATGAAATAGATACAATTCCTTATGTGTCTGTATATTCTGAGAAAAGATTAACACAATTGAGGGGGAATTTTCAGACAAATTAGAATACTGTGCATAGAAAATGAAGCAAACAAACAAAGACAAGTATTAATTCCAGAGAAAACAAAAATGGTACAAGAAAGAAAAACAATCATAATCTACCACATGGCTCAGCTGCGAAAAGTATTTACATAATCATAATCATGTAAACACTAAGCATAGATTCAATCAGAATTATGACATAATACTTACTATTGGAAGTATGGTAGAATAAGGAGCCTGGTGGCACAGTGGTTCAAGTTCTTGGCTGCTAACTGACAGGTCGGCAGTTCAAACTCACCAGATACTCTGAGGGAGAAAGATGGAGCAGTCTGCTTCTGTGAAGATTTACAGCCTTGGAAACCCTAAGCGGGCAGATCTACTCTGTCCTATAGAGTCAGAATCAACTCCATGGCAATAGGTTTTCATGGCAGAATAGGAGGTGGGGGGGGTCAGGTGATGGGAGGATTAAAACAGAGCTAGCTCATCTTCAACCACGGGAAGTCAATAGCTAACACCTTAACCAGAAATTTCAAGAAATACCATTACTGCATGAAACTCTTGAGTTTGATGTATGGGAGGTAAATAGAAAACATTAAAAAAAAAAAAAAAAAAACTTTAACTGAAAGTGATTGTCTTTTAAGAGTGAGAGGAGTTGGGGGAGTACTGCTTTTTTATACAAGCCTTGTAGAACTATTTGACTCTTTAAATAATATAACGTGTATCTATGATGTAAAAAAAAAGAAAACATGGATGTAGGGGGAAATTACGGGATGCTAGGAGATCAATTAGGAGGCTGCGGTAATTTTCAAAGAGAAGTGATAGTGGGAATGGGGATAGAGCTATGGAGAGATTTTAATTTCGATTTCTCTTTGTTGTTGTTAGGTACTGTAAAGACATTTCCAACTCATAGCATCCCCATGTACTACAGAATGAAACACTGCCCTGTCCCACGCCATCCTCATAATCGTTGCTATGTTTGAGCCCATTGTTGCAGCCACATGTCAATCCATCTCATTGAGGGTCTGCCTCTTTTCACTCACCCTCTACCTTACCAAGCATGTCCTTCTCCAGGGACTGGTCCCTCCTGATAACATGTCCAAAGTATGTGAGACACAGTCTTGCCATCCTCACTTCCAAGTAGCACTCCAGCCGTACTTCTTCCAAGACAGACTTGTTTGTTCTTCTGGCAGTCCGTGGTATATTCAGTATTCTTCACCAACACCATAAATGAAAGGCATTAAAAGCCTCCTTCCAGCCCTCCCCACTGTTCTCCCTGCAACTGACAAAACTCTTATCACCCCATACCAATCACCCACTACACCGAATACAATCCCCTTATAGGAGGCTAATGAAGTGATGAGTGGACAGGAACCTAAGGATGCAGACTAGGGAGATGTTTGAGTGCAAAGACACCCTGAGAAGAGCTGGTATGATCTGGGGCCAAGGTGAGAGGAATAACATAATGTGTAAACTCTGAAAACCAAAGATAAAACAAGATGGGGGCAAGATAGACCTTGAAAATTCTGTTTCCTAGTTTATACCTTCTCTTCTGCATTAATGTTTAAAGTTTTATTTATTCATATTTTGAAGAAATAACACATGGACATGGCACAAAATTCAGAAGGCCCAAAGTGGTACATAGGAAAAGTAATCTCTCTTCTTCCCCTGTCCCCTGGCCACCCAGTTCCTCTCCTCAGAGGCAACTCTCTCTTCTGTTTCATGCATCTTTCCAGAAAGTCTACTCTGCATTAAATTTTAAATTAAAAATGCTCCATCACTAGATATATTATTCACGTTTACAAGACATAAATCTCTGTCAGATTAGGATGAGTTGAGGGCGTGAATGAGACTGAATTTACCTCTAGCTCCTGCCTGGGGAAAAGGGCTCACCAGCCTCACTGTCTCTTGATCAAGATTGTCCTAAGGGCTCATCAGCAATAAATTGGTTTAAAGGGTCAAACGCTGGCACCACCAGGAAGAATTTGGACCTCTGATGTGTTCTCTTTGGTTGACACTTCGTCTTTATTTTTAATTTGAATTTTAAGGTGGGTCTTCAGCTCTCTAGCGTCTAGACTTCCATAGTTCCTTTTTTTTTTCTAATAGTACTTTATTGAGGTATAATTTCATACAGAAAAAATGCACCAATCTTGTGTAGAGCTTGATCAATTTCGACAGATTATACACTCATGTAACCATCACCCTCATCCAGACTGAGCTCACATACAGGATGGATTGTCAAATCAGATGCAGAGATCTTACTCAGTGTCAAAACTTTACCAGTAATTTCAAGGATACAGGCAATCAAGGCGTTCAGATGGAACAGAGAGTTCTGAACATCAAAGGGAGACCCTAGATGCTGCCTTCCCACATCAGACAGGACCTCTGGTAACTTTCATACACCAATTATAAAACATCTCATCTCCGTTCCATATCCCAGAGAGTTGTGTATGTGACATTTTCTGGATACTTGCCTCATAAATCCATAAATCATGGGTTCTCTTCACTGTAACTAATCCATTAGACAGAAGCATCCTGCTAAGGGCATTTCAGAGATAAGTTCTCTTCTTCTTGGTAAATCTAAGTAAATTACTATAAGTCTAATGGACAAGATTAGACTGGTCACCTGCTTTTTAGTCTTTTACCTGGAGGCATTACTCTCCCTCCTCCTGTGAAGAGAATAAATGGAGTTACTGGCCAAAGATATAGACCATTTCCTTCAACCCCAGAAAGTTCCTTTCCAGCTGATTCTCCCCTCATCCCACCCAGGGCAACCACTATTGTTTTATATCATCCTAGTTTAGTTTTCCTGGTCGAGACTTTACATAAATGGAATATGGTATGTACTCTCCTGTATTTGACTTCATTTGCTTAATATAATGTCTGTGAGATTTATCTACATCATAAGTCCTATTTCTTACAATTTACACATTTATGTTACCTGCCTGTACCCTTGCAGTGTGTGAATTTTCTTCCCACTGATATGACCATTTAATCAACGGTTAGTCCACAAAAGAAATGGTATTTCACCATTAAAAACGATGACAGATGTATATTCAACAGCATGGGAAGATGCTTCTGACATACTGTTAAACAAATATATACAGTGAACCTATGAGAGCCGGAACTCGATGGGACTGCCTTGTTTTTCCAGGTCTCACAAGTTTTCTGCCTTTGACAGGGTGCAGTCTTACCACTTTTCTATCACTCATTTTAGTAGAAAATACTAGTTTTCCTCTCTGACAAGTTTCTGCCTTGCACAGGTTCCTGCTTTCGCAGGTTTTCCTGTATGTTTGTATGCGTGTGTATGTATGTGTGCATATATATATACATA